CTATTAGGTCCAATTTCGAGTTTATTTTAAAAATACGTCCTAGTAATAAAGATGATGTAATGAAATCTAGTCACTGATATCCTGGCGATTTAACATTTTTTCTTGATTTATTAAAGATTTGTAAGTATTTGTTGTAAGATTTCAACTTTACGGCTTGAGGTAAAGGTTTTAAATACGTAAATACTTCACTTCCAAAAATATAGTCCAAGATATCTTCGTGATATACGGAATAACGTTCAAAGATTCGCTCTGATGCAAGGAATAAAGTTAACATAATTATGATGATTACATATATTGTGATATAAAGGTGGATTTGTGCTTCTGACACAGTCAAACGCCGCTATACGCTAGCAAACGTTATGTGAGCGTAATTGTTCCAAGTGTAAACACACATATTTTCAATATTCGATTGCCTGTGCTGTCCAATGTTGTCTTGTGATTGGTTTGAACGCCGGTGTATGCGAATTCACATCGTGAAAGTTCAACACAGTTGATGTATCTTTTTTCCTGTAACTTTCTGTCCGAGATCTGTACTAAGAAGTACTTGGCAAGAATGGTGACTTTTCTATCGCAGGTACTTTTTAACCCATTTGATAATTCATTATCTTGTAAATTCTTCCCAAATTTATGAGAACTACACAAATCAGAAAATTGGAATGGTGTAAATGTACATATACTCATACAATAGGTTAGAAAATATCTTTACAATCCCTTTAAGATTTTACTACCAAATGAATTACGTCGATTTCTAGAAATTTTATATTTTCGTCAAAGATATTGTTATACTGCATTCTTTATAACTGATCACTTTAACTTTGTGTTAGAAAAAATACAAAGAAATAGATTGAATAAACTGATTTGTATTTGTCAATTAACTCCCACGACTCAATCGGGCATTTTCTAATTTAAATCAGTAAAAAAAGATAAATGACGAACTTGAATGTTAAAACCAATAAACCACTTTATCAAAATATGTACTTTTATCAAATCTATGGTATTTGACATAACCCTTTATCTTAGGAGTACTTAAACGTCCTCCAATTACTCAGCAAGGTGTTAATTCTTCTCCAACTTCCATTCTTTCTGTAGAGGTGAAACGAAAGGTCTTTGATTGTGTTTATTTTAGAAATCGCAATCTTGAGATTTGAACAGAAAGCACTGAATAGATAGTAATATGAGATTTTAATATGCTATCATAACGATTCCTGATTATCTTGTAAACTTCTGGCATTTTGGCACCATTCCATCAGTGATTTGTAAGCAGTATTACAACTATTGTTCCTTTGATTACATTTTTCGATGTACTAAATCGACACAGGTTAAAGGTACATGAAAGAAAAACATTATCTTTACTAATAGTCATAAAATTCTTAGCAATATTTTCTTCTGTTTGTCTTAGCTATTTCTGGAGACCTCTGAATGCTCGTTGATTCAGACTGTGGGATGTAATGTTAAACAAATATCTGTAGAATTTTAATTAAGGATTTATAAAATTTGAATAAACAAGAGAAAATCAATAATAGCATTTTCAAATTAAATCAAAACAAAGAAAAACAATGGTGAGAGAAGTGTTTGATAACAAATTTACCACATAATTTCGAAAAAAACCTGATAAATAACTATCAAAGAAGATATGCCAATAAAATAAATGATACACAGAAGAAATGGTTTTAATAGCTGTTCTGGAAATTGCTGATAAGAGTCAGCTTAGAAGAGTTACTTCGTTCTTCTCAAAGCACTTCCTGGTGATCCTTCAAGCAAGTGACAAACTGGGTCTATCATGGAATTTTCGGTAAATAAGTTAATCGTAACCATGTTCTCATTCACTATGAACATAAAGCGCCTTCACGTTCGATATGTGCGGAGAAATTTTTTACTTATAATTTAAACAATATCTTATTTCTGCTGAGATTGATTTTATGCCAAAAAGAGGTTTCGAAAGGAGCCGAGGCTTATGCTAATCCCGTACTTAATGCCTCTTAGTAATACTGATCTGACCACACAGTATCATAAATATTGTTTGAAAGAATATTATATTAATTTGATAAACGATGTTATTGACAGGTATTTCCGGTAATTGTCATTTGCTTTAGTGAAATTAATGGTTTTTTCCTGATAGGACTAAGCCAATCTGTTAAAAACAATAGACTCAACAAATGGTCTAATTGTACCTTTCAACGTACTGCTAGCTGGCTTATTCTAAATCTCTGGAATGTGGAAGCGTAGCGTGCAGAGTATTTCGTGTTTTATTTTCACAATTCTTAATGGTATCTCTATTAGAACATGTTAAGAAGTAGAGTAACATTGCCTCATTAAAACAACTGAATGTAAAACTGCGTGTCAAATAGTCGTCACATCTTTACTTACAATATACTACACATACGATCCGTTACAATGTATAGTCACCAGAAAAAATTTTGACCAAAAGTGAAAATATCAATGTTAAGTCTGAGCGGTAGGAATAAGGTGGGAATATACGAAATGCGGTGTACAATGCGGGATTATCGATACAGTAGAAATTAGTAGTAGCGACCGTATCCGGACCCATACCTCATGTATTCACTTTTATTTTTAACGGTCCCGCAATGTACACCGCACCAGAAACCGTACCTCATCAATTAGCGGCTTCAGGCGGAAACTTTAGCTAACAGACTGAAATAGAAAGCTTGTTTTTTCCAACCTGCAAAACTATCGGTTGGAATTAAACATTCGTTCAAGAATTACACCTGTGTTAACCGAGAGATATAATTCCCTGGTGATAGTACAGACATTCTAGAATTTCCAACTCTTCAACAAAAACTTAATTTAACATTAAAATGATTGTTTTAAATGTCACGAGTTGACTGTTTGCTTTTGGGATGTCATTAAAATAACTTGTGGATTTATTAAGTTAATACAGATTATATACATAAATTGATATTAAGGAGCGTGATTTGATATTCGAGAGCAAAGGCAAACCCGATAAAATATTAGATAACACCTCCGTGCTTACAGGAATAAAATTGTTTTATCCACAATATTCCTTAATTGCTGACAATCTTTATAGCTGCGTCGGCTTTGGGTTTCGCTGAAATCTTTCAATCGGGTTTAGTTGATATCTTTCAATCGGGTTTAATTGATATCACCAAGTTCTCACTTCTTGCTGAAGAAATTAAAAGTTGAAAAGAGGGTTTCTATTAAAAACCAATCGCAAAAACTAGTTCTGCTAATGTTTAAGTTCACGGCATTTCAATCCAATGATCACTTTAATATCCCCTCTATAACTTATAATATCTCATGGATTTAAGTATCTTATAAATTGCCTTATCGTGGATATTGTCTAATCCTAAGTTTCATAACAAATCTTGAATATTATTGGTTACACCTGGTCTTTGAATTATGATCAGTTACGAGTAAGTTATTCTGTTAAGTGTAATTCTAGATCTACTCAAGCTCTAATTCATCAAAACCTAACTACTAAAACTATTAACTAAACTCTGCTAAATCTTGACAGGTATCTATTTTATGATTTTAATTGCTTGTGTAAAGAGTTAAAGTTAATAATATTGATATTCTTAATGTTCGAAAAATACTTACATTTTGTGAGTAAATAATGCAGTAGGGTTGCTTTGCAAGTTACCAAACCGACGTCGCACGTTCAGTGTAATAAGTGCCAGTTGGAACGAAAACATCTACTTTGTTGTAGTTAATTGTTGCTTAGTAATGTTTCAAAATCTGCTTAAATGTCCGTTGCGATAGTGACGTCATAAAACATTGAGTTTTAGTGGAATTTCAGGAACCACTGAGGTCTAAATCAAAATTGAAATGGTGTATATCGATGCTAACTGGTTTCCGATTTAAAAACATCCTTACAATCCCTTTAAAGACAGTGCATCAGAAACATGCGACTTTATTTGTTGTGTAATATTGCAATATTCTATGCAATTCGAAAATCACTCATCAAAATATTTTCTTGTTTTTTAGCGTCGTAAACAATTATTATATACGAACAAAACAGTTAACAAAGCCATTTTTATCACAAAGTCTTCTTTTGCTGGTTTGATGTATGGCTTTCTACTCAATTTGCTGATTCTGTTAATGTCGGTTACCTTGTTTCTTACATACATTCGTAACATAGTATACACAAGAATCTTATTTCATATTTCAGACTAATATTTCAGGTTTGTTAGTAACAATTCATACTGCGTACAAAAATAATTAGATACTTGATCTGTTCTCATATTTGCCCCAAATCTTTAAGCAAATAAACTGGTCAAACGGTCCAATTCATCAACAAATCATAGACTGTAACTGACAAACTCAAGAAAAAATATCGTAAAACAAACAAATATTGCCAAAATTATTCTAACTTATGGCCAGAAAAGACCTGTGGTTTAAGACAAAATATGTAATTTGAATTATAAAATCGTTCAAAAGCATAGTTACAAACATGAAATATATCAAGTGCATAAGAAAAAAGGCAAATTGGAAATGAAAGTTTTTCTAGAATTCTATAATTGACAATAATTTTACGTAGTATTCTATTCTGATAAAAACCCAGTTCAGAAAACCACATAATGTGAGAACCGAGTCTGTCAAACCAATTCCAATATTCTAATCTCGATCATGAAATTTAACAGAAAAGAAAGAGATTTATTCACTAATTAACTGCATCAGATTGGGTTAATGAAGACGGTGAACGCCCTACCGTATGTATTGGGAAAAATGAGTCACAGTACTATAATAAAGTACATGTATGAAAATTGAAAAAAAATATGACAAAAAAACGCATAGTATATGTATTTATTCCAAAACGGCTGCCTTAAAGCACCACGTCCAATGATATACGACTGATATTGCGTCTTCAAGAAACAAATAATATGTTATAGTGCAAAATACATGATTGTGTAGAACTTTCTCCAAATTGATGTCCATGCAATATGCTCTTTAGGATGTTGATCCTCGTACCCGAATGTGGCTTTTGAATGTGTGTTTTAATTGTTCCTTTTTTTTCATTTCAGCTCTACCTCCAGATGTGTCCAGTATATGGGAAGCTTATCCTTGGAGATTCGGCACCTTTTTCTGTATTGTGAAATCTTTTATATCGGAAATGACGTCATATGCCTCAGTGTTAACTATAACTGCCTTTACAGCAGAGAGATACGTGGCCATATGTAGACCATTATTATCCCAATCTTTATCCAGTTTATCAAGAGCTGTAAAAATCATCATTTCTGTATGGATTATTGCCTGTCTCTGTGCTTTGCCTTATCCTGTTCATACTCGGGTATTTTACGAGGTGCTTCATCCGGAAACAGGTGAACCATTGACAGATTCTTTATTGTGTAATATACCTGCTAAATGGAGATCTGGTATGAGTTACATGTTTCAGTTTTCTACCTTTGCGTTTTTTATCATTCCTATGATAGTTATTTCTATAGTGTATATATTAATTGGTGTTGAATTATGGAACTCTCAGTTGGGGATTGACAATAATAAAAATAAACAAGCAGCTATACAAGCATCGAATGCAAGAAAAGCCGTGCTGAAAATGTTAGGTATGTATGCTAATTCTGTACATTTAAACCAACATCAGATCTAAGTATCTGATGGTTATGTACCTTACAACAAGTGACCTACTTCTGCTTAGTACTATAGTACTTTCGGTGACTTATAAATGACTAAGAAATTAATCTTGAACAATTTAATACTGCTCTCTCCAGAATGATAAAAGCAGTTCATTTTCCTTTGTCATTTATCAATTGGTTTTGCTTTTATGAAGTAGGTTCCAAAGTAAAACTTCCAGAAGTGTTCAAATTATTTAAATAAAGCACGGAAATGTACTTGTTAGTTGTCACGGTTGTCTAGACTTGAAGCATTAACAAACTTGTTAGATTGACATATTTCTAATCACGACAAGGCTTGTTTCAAACAGAATATGTCAATTCTAATGCAACCAAATTTTCCCATTTCTTTTTTTTTTCTTTTGGAAAAATTATTGATTGTAAAGAAGCCAATAGTCTTATAACAGACACAATGTTAACTAACATACGGCTACGACAACATTAGTTTAAACAGTACTTATTAACAAAGATACAATGACACATAAAGCAATATAACATACATAATGGGCCACAATAACAAGACAGAAACTGCTTCTGTAAAACCTCTTCCCGTGAAGATGATTTTATTAGAGAAATACATGTAGTACCTATTTCAATGAATTCAGTAAATACAAAGTGAAGAAACAGTGCGATAATACCATAAATAAATATAATGTGGATGGTGACTGACCAGTGTATATACAGTGTAGGCATATAGGTTATAATTTTAAAGCTTCAAGGACATAAAATAATATTAGATGATATTAGAGAGGTGGAGGCGAGATGGATATGGAATTTATACTTAAGATTGGGTTGTAACTATACAATTACGGAAATTTAGAACGAAAGGACGAAATTTCAAAAGATTCGAAAGTCAGTCCTAGAGAGTATCTAAGGACATAACAAGGATCAAAGTTGTTTCATTGTCGATCTATTTAACTATCAGACTGAAATATCAATATTAAGTGATACATTATATCCATCGTGATCAAATCACACCCCAAATCGTCATACTTTTTCGAGGTTAATAAGACTATGTCAAAACTCGTATTCCGGATACGATGCATTACATCGCGTGAAGGTATCCATTGAAGATTGATACTATAATAAGTTGTTTAAGCTATGTCAAGTGTATCGAGTTCCAAATTGCCACTTCACTGAAACGCACGAATTTAACCTACACGAAGTAAGAGATCTGATGTGTAGGTGTAAGTGACATTTTCGCTCAAACTCGTGTAAATCCCCCATTATGAGTTAATGGCTAATTGGCCAATTGTTGGATATATAAGTGCCGTTCTTCAGTGTTTGGGTCCTTTAATATTTAATTGTAGTATGTGCAAATGCGTCCAACTATCACCCCTTGAAAGATCGGGTATTCTGATAATTGGCGCAATAACGCCTTTTAACAACCGGTTAATTTGTCTTAAAAGCTTCTTCTTGGCTTCCATTTATTGTTTTCGCTTTTTTTAATTTGTCGAGAGCTCAAAATGTAAATAGCTAATAAAAACGTCATCATTTACGAGATATTTGTTTGCAGCCAAAGATAATTATATTAAATTGTTATTTGCCTAATTTAATGTTATTATTTTTATATTCCAGTTGCAGTAGTAATTGCCTTCTTTTTATGTTGGGCTCCATTCCACGCTCAGAGATTAATGACAAGCTATGTTTCCCAATGGACGAATCGATTGTTAGAAATACAAACTTGGTTATTTTATGTATCTGGTAAGTATAATAATGCCAGGGTGAGATTGGTGCATGTTATTCAAGTTTCTTTTATTGTTACTTAATGTAATCAAATAATTTATCCACCCAATTTCCGAAACCGACCAGGCGTAAATCCCAACTGAAATTGGTGTATATATTCTTCCGCTCAATTTCACGAAAAACTCTTCGCTGTACTTTCTGTGCTGGCTTAAACATCTCTTAATGTGTATTTTTTTTCTGTTACATGTTGCATAACCGGTTACTATATGTCTTACGTTATCTGAAGCACGAATGTAAAACGTAGTTTGTCACTTCGACGTGAATGAATTTGACAACATTTTACAAATTCATTGAGATCCAAAGTTAGTTCTGCACATTAGCCTTTAGCTTGTGTTATTAGAGTATGACCATCAGTAGAATACGGCCATCTCAAAACCGTGTTGGCTCCTTATTAAATATCGAACATCCCAATTGTTCGACTTCGTAGAGGTTTCATTTCCTTGTGTATTACATATTGTTTTGCTTCTCGGTTTTTTGCCAAAAGATTTCCGCTTCACTTCAGTATATGCCGTGAAAAGAAATAATAATTTGGCATGCCTAATTTTCCACCTCGGTAGACTGACGATCTCCAGTTCTTGATGAATCAATACATTATCAATATCAAATTATATCAATCAAATACTTTTCTGAAAATAAGATAATTGAATCTAAATAATATAAGAATTACTTCTGAAAATTACCCTTGGTGCATGATTTATCAGATCTGGAGATCTTTCGGTTCCATTGGGTCACGGAACTAAAAAAATGTATCTTTATATTTCAGGTGTATTGTACTTTGTTAGTTCAACTGTAAATCCTATACTTTATAATGTGATGTCAAGGAAATACCGACAGGCCTTTAAGAGAACATTATGTCGTTGTTGCCTTGGAAACGACTATGCTAATGACTTGAGTTTCTTTCGCTCGACGCCTTCCGTAGGAACCGGAACTACCGTGGCCATTTATTCTAACCAGAAATTGTTCGCGAAAAATAAATCGGTGAAAAATGGACTTCTGGAAAATTCGAATTTGTGATAATTTCCGGTGGTAGATAAACAACCCGATTGTATTTCAGATTACAATCTATTTGTTTCGGGAACCAAAACGGGGATCTACCTTTGTATCGAAGGTGGAAATGACTAGCTGACTCGTCTAAGCCTTTGTTACATTAGTTACATATTTTATCATGTTAATATTTCATTATCAATTAATATTTATTTCTCGGACATGTGTAAGCAGAAATTCCATATATGTATTGTTTCACTGACGTACGTGTTTATTGTATGTTTACCACGTCATGTTTCGCTTGATTCAAGTGAAGCATAATCAGAAATTATTATAAAAATGTGCTCGATTCTTCATGTGACATGGTGTGATGTAACACAAGAACTTCTTTAACAGACTAACAAGTTTATATAAGTTCTTCACCGGATATTGCAATATTTATTCTTGATTATGACTTAATGTCGGATTATCAATAAAATGTTGATTATGGGAATAAGTCACGTAATCCGGAGAAGTCTTTGGGCAAATATGAAATGACTTTCAAGCCCGATACATGAATATGTTTGGTTTGTTAGATTGTAATGAAATGGAAGAGAACATTTCTATATTTCGCTAATGGTTTCCGTCATTCTTGATACACCCTTGAAATTGCACGCATTTCATTTTCATGCTTATCATGATTTAGACTTTTTGCAAAATTATATCTATATTGTGACTTTATGTGGTACTTGAAATAAATGTCGATCGGTAGAGTTTTACCAAAATGAACCAGAAGAATCGCCCACTATATCCAAATTCTAGATTGTTCTACATCTGATGTATTCACGATAGAGGTAAAAGTGTTCTTCATACTACACATCAAATGAGCTACATCTGTGTTTGCAGTTCTTTAACAAAAGATTGTTAAACCTTCGAAACAAATTCAATCACGTTCAGATGGACACCATCATAAATTGAAAATGTCGACACGTACAAATACAACCAAGTGGGAAGGTGGTTTGTGAATGGAGAAACTGTCACTAAAGCAACTTTAGCATGTCAGCTTTTCGAAATCATTGGGTTAAACAAGGAGGTTGAAATTAAAAATTGTCACACACTGCCAAACTTTTGACCATTCCTGAAAAAAAAGAGCTTCAGCATTTTCGCAATGCGAGATCACAGTAATTTGCATCGCCAGGGTTTAAAATTCCATTTTGACTGTTTTTAAGGTTTATGCGCGAATACACATGCATTTTTTTTTAAATCGAAAAAAAAACTATTGATGCGTTTAAGAGGAAATGTGAACGGATTGACGGACGGGTGGACATGGGTGCCGACAAAATACGTTTACACAAGTACATTAATGTCTCATCGTGAGTTGGAAGCTTTTTTTCATTTAGGTTTTCCGTCTTCATAAGTCCTCCCAGGTGCCTAAGAGTTAAGTAACGGATTGATAAGAAACTTTGGATAATTCATATGAAAAATATTAAAAACACATTTCCATTATCAATAGAAAAACCAGTTCAATGAGAATTTCAAGAGGCTCAGACAAATCAAACATGTAAACAACTTATTTCTAATGAAAAAAAAACACACAGGGCATGCAATTCGGGTTGCTTCCCTATTAAAATTGTGTGGATTCTTAACATGTTGTTTTAAATAATTCCAACTGAATGATATATTGATTTTTATCAATAAATAGCTTTTCTATTATCTTTTAGAAATCATATTCTAACAATCAGCCTAACGACTTGCTGGGAATTTTACATATTTCTACATAATACATCGATTTATTATTAATTAGAAATTGGCAACTATTTTTCATTTTAGTTTATGCTTCATTAATATAACTTTATTCATATCTATAAGCAGTTTCTGAAAAGTTCTAATTTACCGTAAATATGTAAATGACTTAATTATTTTACTGAAAGCTTTCTTAATACGAAATTATAATTGTTCAAGAACATGGAGATTTGAAAGTGTAACAGAGATCTTAATCGATTTTTAAAACGACACATTTATTTAGGACGAAAAAATGCAAATAGTATGCATATGTGCAAAAGTCGAGCGCCGTTCTTTTCTGTTCCAGGTTTGAACGAAGTGAGAACTGAATTTATAAACAGAAGTAATTGGATTGTAGTTTAAACAGATTATACAATTTACGCCCATTTTAAACGTGATATTTGTTCACGTATGATTTTGTTTTAAATAGATTCATTATTGTCATTTCATTGTAATAAAAAACATTGTTGCTTTTTATTTTGTTTATCTCTTTAAATTCTTAGACTGAAAAATTGTCCTATTGTTTTATTAGAAATCTTTACTTTATGACTTGTAAAGACAGTGCTATTATGGTATTGACTCATCACCATCGCTCGTTGCAATTGTCAGCTAACAGCAAAAAATGATAAATTGTACAGTACATCAAATCTTTGTGGTGTTGTTATCAAAACGATGTTCTTGAATTAAGACCTTATTACAATAGCAAAATTTGAAATGATTCAATATGACAGTGACTGCATTAATCCAAATCAATCACGACTGAAAGGAGGCATACATCTTACATAACACGTCTTTTTATGATACATGTATATGTTTTAGATTCGGTACAAGTTTTAAATTTCATCTTAACATTCAAATCAATATTGTATCCAGAAACGTCAGTTTTTATAATAGTGGAATCACTATTTATGCACTTTTAGACATGTTTTGATTAAATACGAGAATCTTTTATCTTTTTAAAAAGAGTTAAACGCATTCTATTGCTTAAGTCACACCCTCTTGAGTCTGATTAAAATTTCAGCCCATCTATCTCTAAATAAGCTTTTAGAAAAAAGGTGCAGTCGGAGGTTATTAGAATACACACACCTATTCCGATGCCGACCCTATTTGACACATAAGATACTGACAATATAGAGCAACAAATGTTATTGTAATCCAAATGTTAATTACGCTCAGAAGTTGTATAACAGCTGACTATCACTAACCGTGTAATTGCGTGATGAGATATTATGACGAGTATTCCTACTAGCAATTGGAGAACACTGGTCAATGCATCGGTAAAAACTACAGCCTCTTTCGTGTGTACAAGAAATCTGGACGGACGTTTAAAGGGTCTACATTTGCATTGGTTGTTATTGAAGAAAATGACAAAAAACTGGAGGTCAATTGAAGGTCGAAAGAAAAACAGACACACGAAGGAAACGATATTATCCTTTTTGAAATATGCCTACAATCAAAGTCTGAAGTTTGCAGTTGTCTACCCCAAAAGCTGTATTGAAAGGGAATATTAATGGACCAAAGGTGAAAAGATAAGTAGCGACCCTGTAAGTACTGGTAACATATCACTGTTTTTATATAAAAAAAAGGGAACTGGATTTTCTATAGATTCTTTGATGTATTTCTAAAGTTTCAGTTTAAGGTGACCGTGAAAAGATTCAAATCAAATATTTAACGGAATTCGTATTGCCCCAGGGAATACAGTTAGAAGGAGCATGCTCAATTAAATCACTGCTTCGTTGCGATACCAATTCATTAATGGACCTGGTCATAAAATTTATCGGGTTACTTAATCTATTTGAAATGAATTAAGGGGTATTACGATCCAGACAACACGATATTAATCATTTCTTCAACTTAAATCGCTATTTCTGAATTTAATGCCTCCAGGGACTAGCTACTATCATTAATAATTCGGATTGTATTATTTCTACCAAAGTTTCAAAGACGTCGGAAACCTTTGTCTGTTCCCCTTTAATATATAATGTTAATGATTCTTCAATTTTTTTTTCATTGACTAATAATAGAAATAATGGTTTTGAATGTCATTCTATGGAAGTTTCTCTTTTGATCTTTCGGGATCCTTTGGGATCGTGCGGTTCAGCATTGCGCAATCAAACATGCTTTGAATTCAGTTCTGAGATCTGCTGCGATCGACCGCCACATCTAAATATTTGTCCTTAATCATTCCATAAATGTCAAGAAATGAGATCGTTAAACGCCTAGACTGTCAATTGATCTCTGAAGCCCCTCCATATTATGTGTGTCCAAATGTCAACATGAGAACGTCATAGCCGAAAGTGGCGAACTTAAAGTACCTTCTTTCTAAGCACGAAACCCCTATTTTTGTGACGTAAGGTGTAAGGTCAAGCGTCGGGATAAATTACAACGAACAGGAAACATTGGTTTGCTCACACCGAAGAAGAAGGGTGATAACTTGAAAAACTCACATTGTTTATACTTCACACGATCGTTACTTTTTCTATAAATGTTTTATAGGCGAAATAGAGTATCCCACATAGAGCTGTCTTATAGGGGGATATCCCTAATAAAACTCGGGTTTCAAGACAAAAATTCGTTTAATCATAATCAATATAGGTGACAAATACTGAAAATACTGAAAATACATTAATAGCTAAATAAAATTCTCTTCCGAAGTGAAAAACCCCCTTTGAAACTTTCATATGAATGAACTGAAACGCGCAAGTCACTTGTTAGACAGTAACACAATGTTGAAACTGTGTCAGCTATTCTATAGAGAGTTGATTACAACCATTTTACGTTCTGAGTGTACTAAATGCCAAAATAAATATCTTAATTACGTGCTGAATTGGCTTAATATATGAACAAAAAAGCCCGATTGAGTTGCCAGAAACTTACAGATCGACAAGTATTTTTATATCCCGCCTAAATGCACTGTGAATTGTAGTTTCATGCTTCTGCATATGATTATCTTGAAATTAGATTCCGTAATCATTGCAACGAATTCGATCGTTAGTACTAATGAACATAGTAACTTAAAAATTTCTGGAAAAGACGGAAGACCCTCTTCAAGCGTGAACACGTCCTGCTAGACTAATACAAGATATGATAAAGCCATCATCATCATTTATTATCAGTTAGTGCTACTC